AGCACACTCCAGGTAACCAAAAGCCGGTCGCTCGTTTCTTCAGGCCGCCATGAAGATATGAGTTACCTGTTCGCTTTTCTTGGACATATTTATCCTTAAACGCTAACGACAGACAAGCTATCATACATCTTAGCATGTACTAATTGAATCAAAGCATAACACACAGGAATATGGCAACGCATTTGAAGCACCGAAAATGAAAAGGGAAATGGGACATGAAAAATGATAATCGATATCCCCGGAAGATCCTTGCCAGATTCGCAAGCAGGTAACGGAGTTGGGATCAGCTGTGACTTGCCGGAAGTGATAAACTATCCTGAGACAAAGTTTTATTTTTCGGCGGATGTATTGTCTCTGGCGATCGCATTTCTGCTGGAATTTTGCGGCCAGGGCTTATATTGCTTTCTAAGTCGCTTCTGAATCGAAAGGGTAGTTGTATTAAATTTCTGTGTGCGTTTTCGAAGGAATGTTTCCAGTACATGTGCGAGTTTTTTCCCGAAGAATTTTCCAGTTTACTCTTTTTTTATATTTTGGATGAAAAACTGACTTCAGTATTGATATGTTTACTTTTGCTTTCAGACTCTAGATTTATTTTTTTCTTAGAATCCATAATTATTAGGATTTTTATTCATTTTATTATTCAGTAATTGCACACATATATTTTTTCAGATTTTATAGTCTCTTTTCTAATGTGGTTATGCGATTTTTTGTTCTAAGACCTCATATTTATTCATTAGCTTCTAAAATGGAATGTTTCAGGTTGGAATTCCTGTTTCTAAATTTTAATGTGAGTGGGCGCGCGTGCGTGTGCGTGCGCATGCGTGCGAGCCTGCGTGTGCCGTCAAGTAGACCCTTAGTTTTCAGCTTCATGACTGAAAGTGACCAGGACCGGAATTATTATTCTGTCTATATTGCGAATTGCAGGTATTCTCGGGCTAATTCGATATGGATGCGAAGGTGATTGATGTTTCGCGAAAGAGGCATCGCGAATTTCGTGGTTGCATTTCCGTTTTATTTCGAGTTAGAAGATAAACTAGAAACGAAATGCAAAAGTAAACCCAAAATTAGCCATCACTGGCAATTTTCTTGGTGGTAACGAATTGTTTATCGATGTATGAATAAAAAAAATAATTTTCCTACTATTCCAATCCAATTTCTTTCGATATTTTGGCTTATTGTTTATGTTATAAGACAGGGACAAAGAGAAAGAAAGAGAGAGAGAAAATGACCACACACGCAGCGCACACACACACACACACACACACACACACACACACACACACACACACACACACACACACACACACACACACACACACACACACACACACACACACACACACACACACACACACACACACACACACACACACACACACACACACACACACACACACACACACAAAACAAATGTAAAGAGAAGATATACATAAAAGAAAAAAATAATAAAAATATATATATAGACAAATACCCAGCCCAGAAGATATCCCACACCTATTACACACATAAAGCCAAGTCTCCTTTTTTCCCACAAGCGAATGAGGGGCTCCTTATGACGTCATCGAAGACGGTGATTGGGCGAATAAAAGCTTGGGAAAGTGAGATGCAGAGTGTCCGCGTGGTAATGTGCGAGGGGCGATTGTAATGAATGCGGAAAAGCTGCAAGATTATGGAGAATGATGTGGGAATGAGGAAAGAGAAAGGGTGGGGGGGGGGAGAGGGGATAGAATGAGAGGAGGGAGAGGAGAGAAGAGGTTGGATTGAGAAGGGGGTGGGATGAGAGAGGAGGAGGGAAAGGAGAGAAAAGGAAAGATGGAGTAAGAAGGGGGTGGGATGAGAGATGGAGAAAGGAGGAGAGAAGAGAAAAGATGGATTAAGAGGGGGATGGAATGAGAGATGGAGAAAGAGGGAGAGGAGAGAAGAGATAGATTAAGCGGGGGTTGGGATGAGAGGTGGAGAAAGCGGGAAAAAGAAGAATAGATTAAGCGGGGGATGGGATAAGAGGTGGAGAAAGCGGGAAGAAGAGAAGACAGAAAATGGAAGAAAGGATTTGAAGATAAAAATGATGGGTAACAGAGGATGGAATTAGAGACGAAGAAAGAGAGAACGAGAGAGAGGGAGGGAAAGAAGTGAAGAGAAAGGATAAAAAAGATGATGGAGAAAGAAAGATAGATTAGAAGAGAAATGAACCGAAGAAGAAAAATGATTGAGAAAGAGAGGGGAGGGAATGAGGGATGGGAAAAGGAGAGAATAGACGAGAGAAAGGATAAGGGAATGAAGGAAAGGAAATGGAGAAAAATGAAGGAGAGAGTGGGAAGGGAAGGAAGGGTGGAGAGAGAGATGAGAAAAATTATCAGGGGACGAATTAAAAGATCTGAAAAAAAATTGTGAACAAGAGAGGGAAGAGAGAAAAAAATAATAATAACAATAAAGAGAGAGATAAAGGGAGAGAGGCGAAGAGAGACGGGGGAGGAGGGAAGATGTAGATAAAGGCTAGAGATAGAGAGACTGAATCTAAAACAGACAGATAAACAAAAACATACAGGTGAATATTCATGTAGGAAAGGAGACAGGATGAAAAACAACAAATATAGAAAACTAAGAAAAATAGCGAAAAAAACGAAAAAAAAATAGAAACGTAATATGCTAGAAAGCCTTTCATTTTTAGAAAGACGATAGCTACTCATGCGCGTCCAGAACTCCACGAAAAACGCCGTGAAAGTCGACAGCAGGTCAGCGCATCTTGAGAGTGGAAGCTTAGCAAATACCTCTTTTTTTCTTTAATGACTATTTTTTTTTTTTATTTTTTTGTTTTGTTTAACTTCACCATCACTTTCTTGGTAACACTGCGAAGACACAATAGCTATTCAAAAATCAACTATGTGTATCTTCAATTCTTTTGTGTTCTCTGTTTTTTTTTCCGAAGATAGTAATGAAAATAGCTGTGTTTTTTGTCTTCAGCTTTTGGGTGTGTAAGCAACCGTTTCTAGTAAGTGATTTCATTTTTCGATAAAAATTATACACAAGCGTTTGATAAATATCACTTTCCATAAAACGGGATGAATGTCAAACATTTTCCATTTTAGTTTATCTTTTTTTTTTGTATTTGTGATTATGTCGAAAGTGAGCAAGAGAATACAGAAAATCCACCATTATTAAGAGTGGTAAATACTACTATTATTATCATTAATGGTAACAATAGATATAATTGCAAGGCTAACAATAGTAAGCATTATGATAATCAGATACACTAATTGTTATGAGCAAACAGGTTTGGCATGGTAATTTCCAAGTCCTATTTTCATACTTTTATCATGACAGTTGTTTTTTCCTCTCTCTCTTTGTCCTTCTTTAAGTTTGTAATAACTTCCTTCCTGCCTTTAGTAATTATGATGTGAACTGTGATCATTCTGATATGAATGTATCATTGAAAAAGTCAAAACAATATAAGGACAGGTCTATCAATGGCCACTGTAATCATGTTCGACATTTTTTTTATTCGACAGCAATTTTCAAGTGATATAGACAGGAGTTGTAAAACAAAAAGTTATTTTTGGAATTGTGCAAAACCTCGGAGCCTTGGGATGACTGACTCAGCTGCCAATTAGCGCCTTGAAGTTGAATAATAATCTATGACTAAATACTCGTGTAAAAGGAGGTAGGAAATAGAGAGAGGGAGGAGGGAGGGGGAGAGAGAGAGAGAGAGAGAGGAGGCGAAGGAGAGAGAGAGAGAGAGAAGAGGAGAGAGCGAAGGAGGGAGGAGAGGAGAGGAGAGTTGAGGGAACTTTAAAATCTGGAACCCCCTCAGCATAATTCGTCTGGCGAGCTTTGTTTCGACGAGATAACGTTAATGGACGCCGTTCTCTCCGCTGACCCGTGCAACGAGCGCACGCGATGCTTTTGCAACGCACGCGCGCTTGGGACACTGTGTGGTTCCGCCTTATTTGCCGACTTAAACAGTTCTGGAAAGGCGCCGACGGGGTCCCACTTCCTGCACCCGTGGACGCAGTCAGCTGGTCATAACAACACACTTTGCCTCCCTTGCGTCACGCGCGTCGTCATCGTTACGTCACGCGTCACGCAGTTCGATGTCGGGTTGAGAGATTCCATGCACCGCCCTCGGCCCCTCCCTATCCCCCCTCCTCCTCCCTCCCCCGTCTTTTCCCCTACGCCCTCGACCTCCCTGCCCCGTTCCCCTATGTGCCCTCCCTTTGCCCTTAGCCACACCCCTCTACCCTCTGCGCTTCCCTCTGCCCCCTATCTTCTCCCTTATTCCTCTCCCCCGTCTCCACACGCCCTCCCTCTCCTCCGCCCACAGTGACTCCCCTCCCCCTCCCTCGTCCCCCCCTCCCCCTTTTGATTCCCCTATATCACGATGCGTTGATTATGCAATGAACTTTTTCTTTCTCGTTTGGATCTCCCGTGGGCCGGTGACTCACTGTGTTCTCTGCCCTTTTGTGTTTACTCTCTCTCTCTCTCTCTCTCTCTCTCTCTCTCTCTCTCTCTCTCTATCTATATATATATATATATATATATATATATATATATATATATATATATATATATATATATATAGTATATATATCTATATATATCTATCTCTCTCTCTCTCTCTCTCTCTCTCTCTCTCTCTCTCTCTCTCTCTCTCTCTCTCTCTCTCTCTATATATATATATATATATATATATATATATATATATATATATATATATATATATATAATTTTTATTTTTATTATTATTTTTTAATCTCATCTCCCATCAGTTGAATTAGTCCGTAAAAATAAAAAATAAAATCCAACGGGAATGGAGAGAGACAAAGACGCGGAACGGTTTGATCAACAATCACTTCTATGCTTGGCTGTGTCGGGGTTGAGGAAGGGCAGACGGAGGGGAGCAAGAGGGGGATTTCAGGAGTTGGGGAATGGGAGTGGAGGAGGAGGAAGAGGAAAGGGGAGGAGGGGAGAAGAAAGGAGGAGGAGGAGGAGGAAGAAGAAAGAAA